ATGATATATTTATAACTTATGAACATATATATAACATATATATGTAACATAGAAATTTCTAGAAGTACAAACACCAAACTCAAAACAACTGTTATTCTGGGAGAGGACTGGGATGTGCTTGAAGCAGGGGTTGCTAAAGATGATTTTTTTGGTGAATTTTTTGGTAATAAAACACAGGTACATGTTATCAAATTGTAAGATATATTTTAAATTAAAATAGAAAGATAAACTGAATGAAATAACTTAACATTTTTTTTTAATTTTTAAAAAAATGTTTACTTAATTTTGAGAGAGAGAGAGAGAGACACAGAGCATGAACAGGGGAGGGGCAGAGAGAGAGGGAGACACAGAATCTGAAGCAGGCTCCAGGCTCTGAGCAGTCAGCACAGAGCCTGATGCTGGGCTCAAACTCACAGACTGCAGAGATCATGACCTGAGCCAAAGTCAGTCACTTAACCAACTGAGCCACGAAGGTGCCTTATCCTAATGTTTTAAAGTTGTCAAAACTGAGATCAAATCCATCAAAATGTTTTTACAAAGCAACAATTAGGACAGAAAGTTCAAAACTCTTTTTCATATTTTGTTAAAAGTTTGTGTGCATATATACACATAGACATATAGACTACAGTATCTATATATATTTATATGGATACTACATCTACTATCTATCTACCATCTATCATATACATGCTGTGTATGTATACACAACCTATGCTGTGTACATCTATATACTTACATTAAAATGTATAAATGTTGCTTTGGTTAAATCATAGACAAATATCTCATTCTTTATCATTGTTCTTATTATTTGTAATGGCAAAAATATCTCCTATATGATTATGATTAATCTGGTAATTGAATATGGTTTGCCTTTTAAATAATTCAATTAACTAGTAAATTAAAAAAGTTTTCTCACATAGTTGCAAAATTAAGAACAAAACGAAACACTGCTTTATGATATGTAGCATCCCTTTAACTGAAACCCTTCCAAGTGTGAAGAATGTGTTAAGGTTTTATCAAATGAATGCTCTGTGTAGAAAAACTGATCTAAATCGTGATTTAAACTTTACAGCCACTACAATCTTTCCATTTGAGCAAAACTTCTGTTGGAAACTGAAAGGGTGGGGGGGTTATCTCAGACCTCTGGGTATATCCCAGGAAACAAAAGCTGCTCTAAAGGAATTGTGCAAGATTGACACCAACAGGAATTCCTTTCTAGACGATGTGAGACTGTAGATTTGGTATTTAGTTCCACTGAGAAAAGGGGAAGCTACTGAGCTTTTTATTCACCTGGGGAACCAGTCCTGAAGATCCTCAATGGTCTGTGCGTGTGCAGTTGTCTCTGGGGGTGATCAAATCCTCCCCTCACGCTGCAGGGAGGAGACTGTATGTAGAGACCGCAATCATGCACCTGCCGGTCAACAGATAAGCCCTCCATATGCAGAGGCACTCGCCCAGCTGTGGCGGAGGAGCAGAGGCAGCCCATTCCCTCCCCCATCCCCGCAGAACAAAGGCCGGTCATTTTCTGCTCCTCCCAGAGTCAGATGCACGCACACGCCTTCCATCACAATTAACTCAAGAAACTGAAACACAACACAAACTCACCCGCAACATGCTCAAAATCAATGCCATCAATACCCAGAACAAGGATACTAAAAAAGCAAAACAAAACAAACCTATTCAAAGAGTAAATACTCACAGCAACAGGGCTCAAGTCAGATATACTACAAGGTCAACAAATCTAAGACAAGTTCAAGTACAGGGTGCCTTATAAACTGAAGAGCTGGCCATTATCCCAGGGGTCACAAACGTTACCGCCTTCAGCGACCAGCTAATGGAAAAGTCTATAACATAATACAGAGTGGGCCTGTCATGAGCTGGACCACAGGTGCCCCAGGTAAAGGCATTCACATTCAATTTTTTTAAAATTAACTCTTGCAGTATGATTCTTAAACGGAGTCTACAATCAAATAAAGAAGGAAACAGAGTTAATTATGGGTATAGAGTAGATGAAATAGAATAAGAGTCAAAGCCAGAAATGTGGCCAAGTCCACAGAGAATGAAAGGCAGAGCAGTGATCCTAGCTGTCTTTATTTGAAAGGATGGTGACCACTTGGTTTATATCTTCAAAGGCAAGAGCAAAACAAAAGTTAAAAGAAATGGCTTATTAAACTCTAATATGAGGGATTCAGATTTGTCAAACAGATTCTTGCCATAAGTAATTGAGTTAGATTACAAAAAGATCACACACATTCTGTTGGAAGGCTTTAAATAAATGCAGCCTCCAAGAGCTATAGGTGTGGCCTTATTGGAAGGCAAGGGGTGGACCAAATGACCTCCCAAGGTCCTGATTTAAATATGTCTGTATAGTCAACCACTGGTTATCCAGTCCAAAGAAGAAGACAGTGACAAATCATCCTATGCTGTAGATAATAAAAAATTATATTTGTCTTTGGAATGTATTTGGTACTTAAATTAGAATGTGTCTTTCTGATGCTCTGAGAATTCACAATGCTTCACAACAGCCACAAAGAAGGCCTGACCTGGAGCTGGGAGGCTGCCCAAGTTTGCCATCCCGTCCTCCACGCAAGCCTTCTCCTTTGCTGGGGGTGGGCAATATCATTGTTTAGAAGAACACTCAGCAGCCCAAGCTTTCTCAGACAGGGCCTATCTGGCTCAACCCTTCCCCAGGATCAAAGAGAAGAGTCTTTCCCTGATCTCTGGCTGATTCAGGATGAAGACTCGGGATGGTCTGGGCTTTGTTTTCAGAGGATGACTCCCAAGTGCTGTAGGACCCATAGGAAGCATCAAGCTAGACAAGGTTTACTCAAAGCTGACTACAAAAGATGGTCTAGCCTTCCCACCACAGAGACACAGAAGCAAATTTATGGGGTTCCTTGGGAGACAGAGAGGGAGGGAGGGGCTTCATTGAAAGGGAAGATGAAATGAATGCCCAGCACTTGGAAAGAACGAAGCTACACGTTCAGGAGACGCAGTACAATTCGTGTACATAAAAGGATGGGTGTAATGGAGAGCTGCACTTGAAGCCAGTGTCCAAGGTGAAGGGAGAGCATGCTCACAGCGGTAACTTGTGGAGGGTCCAGCAGGAGGGAAGGATGGTTGCCCCACTGTCCTCTGTCAGCTCCCAGGGTCTACCAGGGGAGGCTGGTGCCACCTAACAGGAGGCAGGGCCAACGAGAACATTTCAGAAATGCATCAAAGTCATTTAACCAGAGACTCATGGCTCTGGGAAGAACAGTTTGATGAGGTGGGCTGCTCCCTGATTCAGAGAGACACTGGACCATCACAGCACGGAATGCAGAGAAGCTGCTTGGCTCCACCCTCCTCAGGTCACTCAGGCAACAGGGTCACTACAACCACTTCTGGTTTTTCTTTTTCTATCAAACTCTGCTCTTTAGTTTGTCCTTCTTAAGGCCCAGAACTATGTTAATTTAAAAGTGGCTATTTAGTTTAAATGAAATAAAATTAAAATTTCAGTTCCTCAGTCACTGTTGCCACAATTCAAGGGCTCAGAGTCCCATGTGGCTAATGGACACCATATTGGACAGCACCAATATAGAACATCTATATCATCATGGAAAGTTCCATCGGATGGTGCACTCATCCAGACTTCTAGGAAGGTCTAGAATCAGGTACTTTCTGCTCTTCACATGGTAGAAGAAATAAATAAGTGGAAGAAGAAGTGTGCTTTACAGAGTGCCTTTTCTACACATCATCACCCCTGACCCTCACCACTGCCCTGTGTGGTTGGAGGGGGTAGACTTCAACAGGCACATTCTACAGATGAGAAAAGTAGGCACCACATAGCTAAGTAACTTACACAAAGTTCACAACTATTGAGTGGTATGGTGAGAATTAAAACTGGATCTTCCAATTCCAAGGTCAGTGCTTTCTACTGTTACATGCAACTGCTACAAATAATGTTACTTGCCAGTGACTTTGTTCGGTGCTGGCATAAAAGCTTGGGTCTCCCAGAATGATGCTGATGGGCCCTTGTGTTTTTACTGGTCGACTGATTTTTGAAGTGATAACAAAACTTTGCACAACTGTAGTTCAGCAGCTCTGGAGTTAGGAAGCCCAGGGGTTCAAATCCTGACCCATCCATGTCCTGTTTCATTGACTAGGGCAGGTTGCTTACCATTTAATTTCCTTTTCTTGTACACATACTTCATAGTGTTGTCAGGAGGATTGAACGAGACAATGCCTCTGAAAAAGGCTTAGCACGGTGCCTGGCATGTATTAGCACTCCATAAATAACAACTATCTATGGTTACTGGCAGAATTTACAATGCACTGGTACATGCAATACCCTACTGAGGCTGAGGACAAGAAAGTAGTATGATTTTTCCCCTTTTTCCAGCTGATATACCTGAATCAGTGAGTAAGGGATTGACTTAAGGTCATGCAACTAGAAAGCCTTTAGATCTAGGACAAGAACTCAAGCTATTTGGACTCTAAATCACATGCTTTTCTTCCTACACAATGTTGCTTCTCAGGAGAGAAGGGAACAGTGGGCACCAAGGCATACTTTGGAGGATGTTTAGCTATCCTGAATTCCCATCTTCCTCCCTTCTTTGAAATGGACAATTAATGTTTTCTTAGCCTTATGGAAGATATTGTGCAAAGACAGCTTTGAGTATCCCAATCTATCATAATTGTTACCTTTAAGGCCCTCCTATATAGAGATGTCTCCTCTGGTAAGGAAGTAGTGCTTGTATAACTAAGGAGGCTTCACAACATGAAGAGAATGCCTTGAAGCAGAGTAATCAAATTCTCTCCCTGAAAAACCATCCACCCTCCATCCTCTCCCTGCTGAAGGCAAGGACATGGCATACTAGAGCCCCAGCTGAGCCCAGCTGACACCTATGGGTGGGAATATGTGCTGCTGCAAGCCATTGGCTTTTGGTATTTGTTACTCAGCCTTATCACAGCAAAAGCTGACTAATACACTTGTCAAACTCACGGTAGGAGGCACTTACCCTGCCACAACGATCTCAAAATCTCCATCATGGTCCACATCGGTGACTGCCACACCATAGTTGAGCTGGGTGGGGTTGCTGTCATAGTCAGGGGGCAGGACCGAGCTGGTGACTGCAGTGAACATGGGTTCTGCACGCTGGGACCCCTCAATGGGGGGCAGAAACCGCAGCAGCAGCAGGAACAATAACATCCTGAACATCTGAAACCAAAAGTTATGAATATTACTGAAAGATCTGATAACCAAACAGCCCAGAGCAGTAACATATGCACCTTTCCCCCTTGTTCACGGAGGGCTTGGCAATTCCTAGGCTGCCACTTTCCCATAAGACCCGCCCTAACTACTGTGTTGAAAACTGCAGCCTGCCTACATCACACCTGATCTCACTTACCCTGCTCTACTTTTTCTTTTCTTACAGCACCTTTCACTGTGGAACATACTGTCATTTACTTATTCATTGTGCTCACCATTTATTGTCTGTCTCCCTCTGCTAGAACGTAAGCTCCACCAGGGCAAGAATCTTTGTGCTTTGCTAACTCACCTACATCAAGCCAAGGACAGGGTCTGGCACATAACAGGCACTCAATACATATTTGTTGAGTGAATTAAGGAAGGAAGGAAAGGTTGAGTGTAAACATATAGGCATCTCCCATACTCCAAAGAAAGACTGGGGGAATGTCCAAAATAACCACTCTCAAATAGTCCAGGGGTGGAGTGAATCCCCATGAGTACCCTGGTCTAGAACAATAATAGAGGCAGTGAAGGCTTATCCTCCTTCTATGGGACATACCCCAGAGGCAGTCTGGAGGGAGTCTGGGACTTGGCAAGTTTCCCTGGCCAAGGTCCCTCCCTAGGGCAGCTGGCCATCATCTCCAGATCAGGAAGCAGTCAGTTATGGAATGTATCCCAGCAGGATCTGATGGGTGGTACATCATTCACTTGGAAAAATTAAACCACTGTGTGCGTGTTTTATTATAAATTAATTATGTATAACCCATTGTATAATTCATTATTATATCTCTAACATAACTTAGGGTGTTGCTGAGCAGCCTGGGGCCATGGGAGCTGGTGACCCGCACCCAGGAGACAGAGGAAAACAGCCAAGAAGGTAGAAGGACTCCACCCCCTCTTTGCATGAGCTACAGATGGTACCACCCTGAGACTCTGCCAGGAGGCCTGGAATCAGAACTCGGAATGTTCTAAAGGCCCTGCTCGAACAAGTCTCAGGAAGGCTGTAGGCCCGGTCTTGCAGGCAAAGTAGGGCCTTCCTGCTTTCAGAAGGCAGCAGACCCCTTCTTTTTTTTTTTTTTTTTTTTTTTTTTTTAAATTGTTTATTGTCAAAATAGGTTTCAACATAACACTCAGTGCTCATCCCCACAAGTGCCCTCCTCCAGCCCCCCCCCCCCCCCCCCCCACATCCATCAGTCCTCAGTTTTTGCAGCAGACCCCTTCTTGATGGAACTTTTCCTGCTGGCATGCAGGTGCGTCTGGCAGCTGAGAGCAAGGCTGAGTGAGGCTGATATCTTAGTGAAGAGAAGATGGGGAGGCTGACTCCCCATATGGAGACAGACGCTCATGCCAGCAAATGAGCTTGCCTCAGTTCAGGACCCAGAAACCCAAATGAGGAGCCCAGGCACTGCCTTCACTGTCAAACATGGTTCAGAAGCCTCCCTAATGCCTTGTTGTGAGGCTGCGAAGAGACCCAGGGGGCAGGGCTCCAACTTCAGGGCAGAAACTAATCTCAGTGAGCCTTCCTGGGAAGGAGGCTCTCGGAGTCTGTTCACAGGGCACTTGTTGGGTGTTGCACTATCAGAGTGAGGTCAAGTCAAAATTGCAGAGATGTCTGAACAAGACAATATCTTCTACTGGGCTGTCTCATCACTGAAGGCAAATGCATCACTGTGAGAGTTCTGCCACTCAGCAGGACGTTTGGTTGGATGAAGGAAACTTATAATTGGATTAATGAGCAGCTGTTGGTAAAATGAAAAGCTAAAGAGTATTTAATAACCAGTGTAGACATGCTGAAATGTAGGGTGGATCTGAAGGTCACTGGTCTTTTCAAGGTATGACCTCTATTATAGGGACAGCAAATGAGTTTCAACTTGAGAGCCAGATCCAATTGATTGGCAGTGGATTGAAAGAGTACTGTGATCAGATTACAAGGTTTGCAGTGGGCACAGAAGAGAAAGGGGCATTGAGAAAGAGAAAGGGGCACCTTATAGGAGCTAGTTGGTCCCTCCCAGGCACCATTCCTACAATTTGGGTCACTGCCATCAATCAGGGAGGCAGGTCCTATTAGGGTAATACAAGCAACTGGTAGAAATTTTCTAATGAAGGCCATGAAGGGCAAGAAGCCTGATCCAGCCTGTTGGTTTTTACCTTTTCTATGAAAAGGTGAACTTTTAATTAAAGGAGCCATATGAAACAGGTAGCTACTCCGTGTTAACCATTTCCAGAAAAATAACCTAAAGCAAGGCTAAAAAGAAGTAATACACTTATGGGTTGACCTCTGTTTTGCTTGGTGACCTTGAACAAGTCACGGCCTTGGGTCTCAGCTTTCTTCTCCAAAATGAAGGTTTGGGATAGACTCTAGAGGTGCCTCCCAGCTCTAAAATTCTATGATGAATTAAAGGATTTTTTTTTAAGATGCAGACCTTCAGCAGTTTTTCTCACTAGCTTCTTCCAAAAATTTCAGACCAACCTGTGTGATTTTCCTTTCTGAGCATATTGAACATATTTTGAACAAAACAGCTTTTGGCAGGATTCTACAGTAGTTCACCCCCAGGAGCCAAGGCCAGAGAGAGGAATCAGCCGTCTGAAATCTCCCCATAGTGGACAGCCTCCCCCATGATGCAGGGGGAACACGCACTTTATCATGAACAAGCTCAGGAAAAGGTCTGGAAAATATCTCCTACTCTCAGGGCTCATGTGAAAGAAATCACTGAAGTGCTCCTCTAGACCATGGCTACTCACACTGGTGGTCAGACCAGCATCAGCATCAGCCAGGAGTTTGTTAACATGCAGGATCTCGGGCCCCACGCCAGACCTAATAAATCACAATATGTGTTTTATTGTTTTTTTTCTTTTTAATTAAAAAATATTTTAATGTTTATTTATTTTTGAGAGAGAGGCAGAGACAGAGAATCTGAAGCAGGCTCCAGGCTCTGAGCTGACAGCACAAAGCTGGATCTGGGGCTCGAACTCATGAACCACAAGATCATGACCTGAGCCGAAGTCAGATGCTTAACTGACTGAGCCACACAGGTGCCCCCAGAATATGCATTTTAATAAGACTTTAGGGACAAAATGCACATTAAAGTTTGAGAAACACTGCTTAGCTGTACACTAGATTCACCAGGGGAGTTTTAAAAAAATACTGTTGTCCAACAATGATTTCTTGGACATGACCCCAAAAGTACACCCAACAAAAGAAAATACAGACAAAATGGATTACCTCAAAATTTAAAACTGTTGTACATCAAAGGACACTATCAACAGAGTGAAAAGGCAACCCACAGAATGGGAGAAGAAAATATTTGCAAACCATATATCTGATAAGGGATTAATATCCAGAATATATAAAGAGTTCTACAAATCAACAACAAAAAAAACCTAATTAAAAATGGGCAAGGGACTTGAATAGACATTTCTCTAAAGAAGAGACATACGAATGGCCAATTAATATGAGAAAAGATGCTCAACATCAGTAACGATTAAGGAAATGCAAATCAAAACTACAATAAGATAACACTCATACCATTAGGATGGTTATAGTAAAAAAAAAAAAAAAGAAGAAGATGGAAAATGGCAATTGTTTGTGAAGATGTGGGGGAGTAAGACCCTTGTATATTGCTGGTGGGAATGTAAAATGGCACAGCTACTGTGGAAAAGTGCTATGTAGCAGTTCCTCAAAAAAAAGCCCTAAATACAACTGTCATGTGACCCGGCAATCCCATTTCTGGGTTTACACTGGAAAAAACTAAAAGAGCAGGCTCAGACAGATATTTCTACACCCATGTTCATAGCAGCATTATTCACAATAGCCAAAAGATAAAAGCAGCCTGAGAGTCCATCAACAGCTGAATGGGTAAACAAAATGTGGTCTATACATAGAATGGAATACTAGAACCTTTAGAAAGAAAGAAAATTCTGACACATGCTACACCATGGATAAACCGTGAAGACATTTTGCTAAGTGAAGTAAGCCAGTCACATGGATATATACTCTACAATTCCACTTCTATGCAGTACCCAGGGCAGTCACGTTCACAGACACAGAAAATAGAATGCTGGCTGCCAGGGCTTGGTGGGGGAGAGGAGACATGGGGAGTTCCTGTTTAATAGACACAGAGTTTCAGTTTGGGAAGATGACAAATTTAGAGATGAATGGCAGTGCTGTAGCGAGACAATGTGAATGCACACTCAATGTCACTGAACTGTACACTTAAAAATGGCTCAGGTGGCAAATTTTATGTTCTCTCAATATATATATTAGCACAGTAAAAAAAAAAAAAATACAGATGTCTGATGTCATACCAAGATATTCTCACTTAACTGGCCCTGGCTGCAGCAGGGGCATTAGAGTTTTAAAAGCCCCCCATGTGATCATTCATGTTGCAAAATTTAAAAAACGCTGTTCTATATGAGTGCTTCAGTACTTCTCAAACTTTACTGTATATGAATCACCTGGCGATTTGTTAAAATGCAGAGTCTGACTAGGTAGATCTGTGGTAAGGTCCAACATTCTATAGTTCTAACAAGTTTCCAGGGGGCGTCAATGGCTCCAGTCTACAAGTTGTACCTTGAATAGCAAGGTTCTATACTATAGCTCCCAGTCCAGAAACCAGGGTATATACTACAGTGAAGGTATAAGATTAGTTCAAGAACCTTCCCCTCTGTCTCCAGCTCTAAGGAGCTGAAATCAAGGGAGGGTTAGCCCCAGGGCTGCAGGCTCAGCTTATCCTTATGCACTAAAAGTATACTAGCTGTCTTCAGCTCAAAGTTAAATTCCCACACTTGATATGGAGTGACAAAAAAGGATTCTGACTCCAGTTTCTGGAAAAAAGTGAGAAGAGGGGAAGGGTTGGAACTGGAGGGGGGTCAGGTCAAGGAGAAAAGAGATAGCTACCATCCAAGTGCTAGAGAAAATGGGGTATGGGCAGGAATTTGCAGGCTAAGATAGAGATGCATGCCAATGTATT